TTTTTAATCAATTTAACTTTTTATTGGGTTTGAGACCATGGTGCTCAACATTTTTTTTAATAGCCGTAACATAAATAAATAAAATATTTTCTTTGAGTTCTAAATATACAATGAAATTAATTCGGTTCAAATTAATTAAATTCGTACTTTCTGATAAAAAAAAATGCTTACATGAACATAATAATAAATTTAATTAAATACAAGTTACACAATTTATTAGGTTAATTGAACCTAAAAAATTAATTAAATAAAAACAACGCAGTTTATCAACTTAATTCGTCTCTTTTTACCATCACTCTTGGTTTTTGCAACCCCATACTTCAAAGAATTATTTAATAAATATATATTAATTATTATTATATATTTATAAAAAATATATATTTATTTAATAAATATTTATTAATATTTTTCGATTTTTCTTATATTATCTAAAACTTAATTGTTTTTAGAATATTTTTCCATAAAATTTATGTTTTTCATTTTACCACATCGCAGACTGAAATGTATTTAGGTTGTAGAACTACAAGTTATAGTTGTTAATTACTTTTTCATACCACGAGTGAAATTTTTCGTTAGTTTGCGCTTAGACCAACTTTATTTCGATAAACATCTGCGCCTCGTACTTAAAATTTAATTTTTATCAACTTTTTCATTTATTAAAATATACTTTACCCATTATATCTAACATCGTTTTTTATGGACTAGCCTTTATTTAACGAAAAGGAGATAGTTTCTTTATGAAGTTTAAAATGAATACTAATTTCAGATATCATTAAATTATTTTTTCTTTCCTAATTTATTTATTTGTTTTACTTATTTTTCAAAGTGACTTAACTTATTTTTTAATACTAATTTTGCATTGAATTTATGGTTGATATTTTAATAAATTGTATAGTACTATAGTACTATTAATCCTATTATTCCTATTGTTTTTATTCCTACCATTATTCCTTTTGCTTTTATTCTCATTATTGTAAATGCAAGTTTGATAATAAAAATTTAAAAATTTAAATGTGCAGATTTCAATACTTTTAAAACATAATTAAAGTAAAAACTTATTAAAGTTAAATAATTTTTATGGCTTTTTATTAAATATGTAAATTTATGAATTTTAAAATTATTCCTGATGCTTTTAATTAAAAAAACTTTACAAGAGAAAATATATACATTATTAATTCCTCTTTCCTAACACTACAATCATAAAATAACATTTTGAAATTATATGTAAGGTTTATCTTTAGAATTCAAACTTTTTCTTTTTAACGAAATTTAAAATATCAATTTACATAAAATTTATAGATTGTTATTTTGATGTAAATTATGAACAGATTTATTTGGAATAAAATACATGAAAATATAATTACTCAACTTAAATGCAAAATTGGTGTAAAAGACTATTTGCAGTTTTTAAAAAAAATACTGATCTTTAAAAGGAGTATTTACAAAACGAGAAAAATTTCATATAGAAATGTTGTATCTGTGGCCAGTACAAGCGCTACCCAAGTTATTTTAACATTAAATAATATTGAAGCGTAATTTAATAATTTTAGTTCGTTTTGTTGGTCGATATTTTGTCCGTGTTTGAGATTATAAGATCCGAATCTAGATCAGGGCAGAGTTAATTAGCTTTTCCTTAAAAAATATTGAAGCAAATTATTAATTTTTGAAATTATGACTGAAGTTTTTAGGAATAAAAATATTTTTAAAATAATAGAAGTTTACCTTTTATTCTTTTTTGAAGATTAAGGATTTTTAGCAAAACCAGAAAAACAGAGTTACATAATTATTCTGATAAAAAAAAATCCGTCCCCTATCAGTTTATCTAATTATTTTATTTATATAACGAAATGCTCAGGCACAGTTTGGAATTGGAGAAATTAAATATTTCGTCCCTTCCCAATTATCCATTTTTATCGTTACGTTCACGTTTTATAAAGTCACGTGACCATAACACGTGCTTTAAAAAAAAATTACTACATAGTTCGAAATCCAAGATAAAAATACTTGTTTCAGATTTAGAACTTTATCTTCCATTACGGTTATCGTAGATGAAATATCTTTTAAGTATCTCTTTTTCTGAAGGATAAAGGATTGAAAATTAGAAGTCCCGTGATAGAATTGTCACATTTAATTAATATCTCATTCTGATACAGCAAAATTCTCGACTTCAAGGAAGTATGTAACAGCAATAGAAGAAAGTGTCTTTTCAATTAAATGAAGTGATCATCTCAAAACATTTTTTTAGCATTTTGTTTTTTATTATTATTATTATTTTTGCTAAATGAAGTCTTAGATAAGGTATGCAAAATGCGTATGAAAATAAGTAAATTTTGACCTATGCCGTGAAAAATGTAAGAACGAAACTCAAAAATAATTTATAGGAAACTTCTAATACTCCTTTTTTTGTTATCAGGTATTAATATTTTTTAATGCCCAGTTCCAAGTTTAAATGAAACTTTTATTCTTTTCAGAACAATCACTTTTATAACAAAATATTTCTAACATTTAATCACTTCTAAATATAATTAATATTTAAAGTCGATGCAATTGCTAGAAAATCCGAAATCTTTAAATTTCGGACCGTGTTGAACCTCTATATCGTTCGAGTTTGCTGCAACCATAATATGGTGTTAATATGCTATTATGGTTCAGCTTGAAGGGAAACGTGGTTTGATTTTACACCTTACTAAAGTTTTAACAAATTTACAAAACTTGATGTTGTTGTTGTTGTAGTTAATTTACGTCGCACTAGAGCTGCACAATGGGCTATTGGCGACGGTCTGGGAAACACCCCTGAGGATGATCCGAAGACATGCCATCACAATTTTGATCACCTGCAGAGGGGATGGCACCCCCTCTTCGTTACAAAACTTGAATCAAGATATTAAGATTTACCGACTTTTTAAGGAGTGTTAAGTCAAAAATGTTCCTTTTATATTTGTCCTTTGACAATTTTTGAACATTAAAATATGTGTAAAGAATAAATTCAAGTAAATGTATTAATCACGTAAATGACACTTCGCTTAACATTTCGTCACTGCGTTCTTGAAAAACTGCAAAAAGTCCCCTAACTATATCGAGCGATTCATACTGACTAAATAAAAAATAAATCTACAAAGTCTTACTTTAAAAACTGCTGAGGATAGTCATTTGATCTTTCACAAAAAAATTATAATTAGTAAATAAACTTCATTTCAGAATTCATATTTTCAGAAAAACCAATTAAAGAATGTGACGTTACTTTAAAGTGTGCATGTAATGAAGGGTTCTGTGTAGGTGTCAAGGTATTGACCTTGCATCAGAAAGGTTTTGGGTTCGATTTCCGGGCAAGGCATAGATGTTCATTCATTTTCTGTACTATATATCCTTACTGTGGAGAAAACGTCGCCTTACCCTAAGTGCTTCTGAAAGAGTGGCCAACAAATCTGCCCCTCAGATGCTTGTATGACGAAAAGTCATCCTCCAGGTGGGAATTGAAAAAAAAAAGCAGTTATTATAAGTCAGAAAATATAATCACTCACTATTTTTTATGGTAATTACTACGCATCGATTTAGATACATTGCCTTCATTGTTCATGCATTCTGATACCTGAGGTTGATGTATTTTAATGTTTTATTGTTGTTGTTTCTTTTTTAATGCTTCAGTAAAATATAAATTTTTTAAAAGCAAAAAAGAAAAAGAAAACTATGAATAATTATTATCTGTTGTTCAAAATTTAAAATTAGAAATAATGTTCCTTAAAAAAGAAAAGTCTTTCTCCATTTTGAGCTTTTTCGGTTTACATTGTAAAAATCTAGTATTTTTTCACCCTGATACAAAATTAAGTTCAATGTTGAACCATAATATCGATACTTTAGTCCATAATAATATGGTACGAATATGTAATAACTTTGATAAGGTGTTAAATTGAACCTTAATACCACGTAATCAAGTTTAGTAAGTATGATAATGTGGTTTAATACTCATCAAAATTTTTAACATTAAAGGTTACCCCTTTTTTGACTAAAAAAAAACTTAAAAAAAAATTTAAAAAATGAAACATAAACATTTTAGTAGTATTATTTCGAAAATTACATAACATAACCATTTTAGTAGTTATGTTAAACATAAACATTTTAGTAGTATTATTTCCACGTTTTTCAACAAGTGATAAAAAGAAATTATTAGAGCTATTATTAGAGCTTATATGAAATGGTAAAAAGTAAAGAAAATTTAGTTCAATGTTGAAACATAATATCGATACTTTAATCCATAATATGGTACGAATATGTAATAACTTTGATAAGGTGTTAAATTTAACCTTATTACCATGTAATCAAGTTTAGTAAGTGTGATAATGTGATTTAAAACGCAACAAAATTTTTAACATTAAAGGTTACCTCTTTTCTGACTTTAAAAAAACTAAAAAAAATAAATAAAACAAAAACATTTAAGTAGTATTATTTCAAAAATTATAATATCTTTATTTCCTCGTTTTTCAACAAATGATAAAAAGAGATTATTAGAGCTTATATGAAATGGTAAAAAATAAAGAAAATTTAGTTCAATGTTGAAACATAATATCGATACTTTAATCCATAATACGGTACGAATATGTAATAACTTTGATTAGGTGTTAAATTGAACCTTATTACCATGTAATCAAGTTTAGTAAGTGTGATAATGCGATTTAATAAGCAACAAAATTTTTAACATTAAAGGTTACCCCTTTTTTAATTTTAAAAAAAACTAAAAATAATAAATAAAACAAAAACGTTTTAGTAGTATTATTTTGAAAATTATGATATCTTTATTTCTACGTTTTTCAACAAATGATAAAAAAGAAATTATTAGAGCTTGTATGAAATGGTAAAAAATAAGGAAAGAAGGGGGGGGGACAAACGAATTCAATCGAATACAAGCAGACCTGTGTAATTCTGATTCAAACTATATTTATATAATAGATTATTATCATAAAATCTTTGATCTTTATAACATTTTTTTTCTTTTTTTTCTCTAGCTTACGAAAGAAGATGAAGACCGAAGACGCCGACGTAGAGAAAGGAACAAAGTAGCTGCCACCAAATGCAGAAATAAGAAAAAAGAAAGAACAGGTCGTCTAGCTGAGGTAACTATTTTATTATATTTTCTGTCTGAGTCATGGTCTGTAAAATACGATAGAGATAAAAAAATAATTCACAGAAGTCGTAAAAAGGGCATATATCATACCTAAATCTCCCATCATTTGGAATTCATATTTTAGCTCTACAAACAAATTGAGAAAAGCACTCTACTTAAAAAATACTCATATCTGTTCATAAACTGCCTTTGGATTTACGTCATTGATTCAAATAATTTTAATATTTTTATTAGTTACTTCACCTCTTTATTCGTATTAAAAATATATTTCGTGAATGTAGCAAAACTACGATTTTGCAAAATAACTACCTGAACTATTTTCAAAATAGCATTCTTGTTTCAACTTTTAATTGAAAAAAAAAAAAAGAAAGAAAAGAATGCTCTTAAATATTTCGGAGCTTCTTTAACTATATTATTATTCAAATTTGCTTATACCTTAAATTTGCTTATAAGTTAAATTTCAATCAACTTTACTCTGACTTAAAATATCCTGAATAGTAGACGAATCATGGGTCCCCTTGCCGTCAGGCTAACCGTGTGAGGTTTTCGTAGTTTTTTCCTCCATGTAACGCTAATGAGGGTTAGTTCATTCAAAAAATCCTCTATGAAGGTAAATTTCTCCCAATTTTTGATGCAAGAATTCCCTTGTCTCCTGGATTGGGTTCAAAATTGCAAGGCTACGAAGTTGAACATTAGCAGTCATAAACCCAAAATTGGGTCTACTTTTAAACGACGGTTATAAAATAAAATAAAGTGAACTATACTATAGCTGGAGTTACTCAGGGGGTAGAGCGTTCGCCTACTAATAAGTGACCCAGGTTCGAATCAAAGCTGTGGCTGGTTCAATTCTGCTCCCGGCTCGCACCCATAACGGTGCTGACGTATGATATCCTCAGTGATAGACAGTAGTCCTCCGCGAAGGCTTAGTTTGGCCCAGTGTTTGATCCTTTTGTCTTCTGAATCGGGTTCAAAATTACAAGGCTACGGATGTGAACAATGATAATCATGACTCAGAATCGAGTCTGCAAATTCTGCACCAGTTATAAAATTATAAAATAAAATTATAAAATCAACTTAAATCTTTCTGACTCATCCTACAAATATTTTTGAAACTTCATGTAATATATTTTTTGTAAATATTTTCGAAAACTCACATCATATGTATTCTTTCTTTTTTTTCGATCATCGTGGTGTTCCCTTTAAAAGTTTTAGTATTGATTTCGGCTGTTATAAAATGCACTGTTTATTAAAAAGGATTTATAAAAGGATATATAAAGTTATTTCTCGGAAACATAAAGTTGTTTATAACTATACAGATATAACTTTATTAAGGTTTTATTACGATTTGCGTGTTAAAAAGGTTGTTCCGATTACGGCATTGAAACTTATTAATTACATTCCTCACTTCTAATCAGGCTTAGTTCCGGTTTCTTTGTCATTTGAAACCTTGAAAGCTAGATTTAGCTAGATAATTTCTCACACTGTCTTCAGAATGCTTTCGGCAAATTATGAAACAAGAATATTGATCATGCGTCAGATTTTTATTTTGTTATGAATTAATTTTGTCTGAGTTACCTAATTTTTTAAATAATTTTGAAAAATAAATTTTTATGCTTTGCTATATATATGTTGTGCTATACCGAAAAATGCATTTATAATCATAAATGCATTTTTCGGTATAGCACAACATTTAAATTAGCAACATTTAACGTTTATAATTATTGTAATTTTTGCGTACAGTGTAAATTGTCAGTTAATCTTTACAAATTATAATAAATACTCCAATTGTTGTTGCTGTTTTATTGATGCTATTTTCTTCAAATTATAGAGTATATCCGTTCATTTTGCAATAAATTATTTCATTCATTCATATCTGATCAAATCTTCTTCATTTAAGAGGGATTCGACGAAAAATAAAAAACAAATAATTCATCATTCATTATTTTTAAGCCCTTTGGAAGTTTCCTAGTAGATAATAGATACTTCAATTCCCTGAATAACTAATCAAAAGTAAATATATGCACTATTTAATAAGTGTAGTGCTCAAAAAAAATAAGCGGACCACCCTCCATAACTTATGATCTAATGGTCGGATCTTCGTGTTCCATGACTCGATCTTAACTGTTCGAGAGGGTGACCTCAAATATGCTAAATTAATTAGTGCTGACGATATTTTAAGTTACGAAATCAGACACAAAAACGTACTTTCTCTGAATAAACATAACTTTTTTTTCCACGGATTCGGATTTTTGATTTCCAATAATCTGGCCGTAATCTGGGAAATATGGTCCTCATAGTTTGATCTGGAGAGTGGACCAAAATTTGAACCCCTTAATGTTAATTTTACTTTTTGTGTATTTCGCCAAATCTCGAGAAATTTTTTATCGAATTGAAAATTTTTTGCACACAATTATGAAATTCGTTTATTCAAAGATATTTCCACTAAAAAAAATAACTTTTTGTAAGTATTTACTATTTTTTATTATTTTATTTATGCTAGTCGAAAATATTTCTTAATGTGAGGTATACAGTTTCTTATATCATTTTAAAGAATGTAATTTTAAATGACAAAATACAAATTTTGAGCAAAATCGGTGGAATAGTTTCAGAGAAATCATGTTTTTCAAGAGTCGTATTTTTAAAATCTGATTTCTCAGGAAGTATAATATCAATTTTGCTCAAATTTTGTAATTTGCCATCTAAAAATACATTCTTTAATATGATGTAAAAAAATTGCATGCCTTACAATTCCAAATTTTCTCGACCAGTATAAAATAAAATTATAAAAAATAATAAATACTCACTAAAATTTATTTTTTGCATGAAATTATCTGTGACTAAATAAATTTTATATTTGTGTGCAAAAAATTTTCTATTCGCGTAAAAATATCTCCAGATATGACAAAATACTTTTTTAAACAAATTTACATTATGGAGTTCAAACTTTGGACCGCTTTCTTGACCAAATTACATGAACAATGTTTCCCAGATTGCGGTTACCTCCTATATTTTGAAGGTCAAAAATCCGAATCTGTCGAAAAGAAGATATGTTTATTCAGAGAAAGTACGCTTTTGTGTCTGATTTCGCAACTTAAAGTATCTTTTGCACTAATTAATTAGTATGTTTGATGTCACCCCTTCAAGCCATAAAGATTGAGTCCTAGAACGGGAAGACCCAACCTTTAGATCAAAAGTCATTGAGGGTGGTCAGTTTTTTTATTTTGGGCACTTAAAATTACTAAATTGAAGAAATAGATTTTGTGTAACCATTCTGATAAATCTCTTCAGGGGTCTGTTTAGGAGAAATTTGGGTTAACGGACCCTTCACAAAATATCTTTTCATAAAAACGAACCCTTCACAAAATAATTTATCTTTTAATCGAACCCTTCACAAATTTGTTTATTTTCATTATTGTTTTGTTAAAGGAATAAACCCTTCCCGGGGGGGGGGAGAAAAAGACGGTTCGAGACAAACTGAGTTTCCTAAGTTTAAATTCCAAATGTAGTATTCTAAGACAATATTTCTACTTTTACAAACATCTGTGCGCATTCTTATTAAAATATCAAATCATAATTTTTTTGGTAAATAAATAATTGATCAATTTTATATTTATTCATAAAATTAATTAATAGAATATTATGTAAATAAAAATTAAATTTTGGCAATTTTTTAAATAAAATATTATAAATTTAAGAATTGTTTAAGTATGCGTAACACATTAAAAGTTATACATTATTAAGTTGGGTTATTCGAAATATGTTCATTGAAATTAATGAAAATGTGAGTGATTTTGTTTCCATTATTCATTGGTAATGAATATTTTGTGTTGAGCAGTATAGGCTAAATACCAAATATTTGTAAATTGCATCTCTAATTTAGTAGCAGGAATTGTTGAGCAGAATCTTGTATCTATTCACAATTTAAAAACTTCTTGAAAAGGTTTTTAGCAATTTTTGCAATAACAGTACCTTTCACAAAATGTCTGGGCAGACCCCTGATCTTTGACCGTTCATATAATACGTACTCAGATAAATTGCGGATAGTTGTGATTTGTTATTTTTTACTGATCAGAAATCTCTTGTACGTTGCCAAAGTAATTAAATTTGAAAAATAGACATCACATTGTTTGTCCAAAACTCCTAAAAATATGCTTACGCAATATTTAAAAATTCAACCATTATATTATTTAAAAAGTCATAATATCTTTGTTTCAAGCTAAGTTAAGTACTAAAGCAAGGAGGTTAAAGCAATGAATCTTTGAAATTTGTCCAAAATTTTGCTTGAATAGATTTCAAGTTCACGTCAAATAAATTTTTTCTTTCTGTTTTTTAGGAATCTGAATCTCTGGAAGTTAATAATAACGCCTTGAAAAATGAAATCCATTCTTTAGAAGTAGAAAAGCAGGAGCTCATGGGTCTTCTCCAAAATCATCTTCCACATTGTGCCAAGCAACGTCCACCACCGACTGCAAGGAGTTACTGCTCTCTTCCCAATCAGGTGGTCCACAACCAGATGCCATCCTGGTCATCAGTATCTGGCTGACTGACATCATTTAAATATTAGTTGCTAAAATTAATGTCCTGTGAATGTCTGCTAAAAACAAATGGGTTGTGGTATATTTGTTTTTTTGGATGCAGACACCGGCTCAGGGCTAATATTGATGCGATTGACAACCGCCTCTCTGTAGCTGAAAGCCTGCAGCTGGTTTGATTTTGGATGACATACCTATGAAGGGTAGCTCAAACATGCAGCTGGTTTGATTTTGGATGCCATTCCTATGAAGGTTATCTGAAAACCTACAGTCGGCTTGATTTTGGATGACACGCCTATGAAGGTGTTTCTTCAAAATTTTCAGAAGATCGTCTGCAAAAGATGAGCCAACGTGCAATGGATGACTCCGAGATTGAATGGGATGATACTTGAGGAAATGTATTTACAGAGTACAAGAGTTGGGATTAATAATTGTTTGTAATGATTCGTTTCAAAGTTAGCTGTAATTTTGATTTTTTTGTGATTGAGGTACTGATTGACTTAAAATTATGAATAAGGATAGATTATAATAAAAATAGATAAAGCAAGGTAATTTTTATGTTCCAGTTGGAAAATACATTGTCAGATTCGAATTAAAGAAATCACTTAGAATTGCCCATTTCATGAGCACAATATAGATTTTAATATCAAGAAGCTTGTTCGTTTAAATTTAGTTTATGAATCGAAAACGTACAATTCAGCTGACAGTATGACACCACTAATTCTATTTTACATAAGATTAATTTTTTAATAAACAAAATTAAGTAACCTAAATGAATTAACAATTCCAATAACTCACAAGACATTAAGTAAAATTCGCATTACTTCAGTTCAAATTTATTTAACTTTTTTATTTATTTAACTTTCCCATTTACATTAACCAAGCTAAAATGCTTAAAATAAAATGTCCAGAATATATAAATCTCCAATTTCCTGATATATAAATCGTGAATCTTGAATCTAAAATATAACTGTTGTAATCTGAAATATAATTTAAAATTTCGTGGTCTCTTTATCAACTGCTATTTAGACGAAGATTCTATTGGAATATAAGCTATTGAAATATCCAAAAAATTCTACAAAATAATTTTAGAAGTAAACTAAGCAAATTTTAACTTTATTTGGAGAAGTCTCCTTAAAAATGTCAAATCAGTTAAATACTGATTATAGTTTTTTACTATTTTGAGCGTTTAAACTTTCTATTTAAACTGTAGTTTTTATTTTGCACTATAAAAGCATTAAGTTAAGTCAATTGCAACTTTTCTAGGAGTGAAATTTTTTTTATAAAATCGACAAAAGATAAGTAATAGCAAAACTTGCTACTTTTAATCACTTGTCAGCACTTTGATCTCTCTATCAAAACGATACTTTCTACTTTGCACTGTAGAAGTAACGTATTCAATAATCTCTACAAACTAATCTCTTATTACATCTTATCTAAATTCGATTTAACTCTCAGCTAATAAGCGAGTGAGTAAATCTCGTAACGAAATTTGTATTAAATGAAATCTGTCAGTTATTCTGAAGCTAATGAACTATAAAAGAAGGAAGGGAAAAAAAGAAATGGATAAGACGGAGTAAGATTAACGCAACATGTCTAAGAAAGGAACGATAAACGATATGATTAAGAAGCGTTCTTGACCATGAAGCCGGAAACGATTGTTAAAAATTTCAGCCTTCTTGATAAACTTGTAGATTCACATTCACTGCACGTGTTCTTTATTGAAACGAATCGGAGTTGCAGTTTTTCGTGACAAACGTCTTATAAATATACTTATAAAAATTCACCATTAAGCAGTTTTATGGATCTAAATGCATTCATATGTTAAACTTTTTAAAATTAATAAAAGTTATTCATTAAAATTTTAGTAAATTTTATGTTTTATTAACATAAATGATCAAATAATTAATTACTTTATAGCTATCAGGATCACATTAATTAAGAACCAAAACACGCAAATATTTAAGACCAATATTCATTAAAAGATATATTTTGCAGATCTGCATTTTACGAAGATTGTTTGTTACGTTATACAATGTTTATAAAGAAACAATTTAATAAAAAAGAGATGATTTTTCAGTGGTTCTGCGAAAAATTTATCGCTGATTTTTAGTTTCAAATAAGAATAAATAATTCATGTTATATTTAAATACAAATTTTTTTTCAATAATTCTAAATAACAATTTTTACATTTTAAAATCAGATGATTTAAATCTTTTTTTCTTCCTCATATTTTAACATTATTCAGAATTTCACTCAAAAGATATGCCTATAAGAGTTATGAACAAAAATTAATATTTCAAGAGTATTTATAAAATAAAAATGTATTTGCAATGAGCTTGTTATTCTTTTTCTTAGTTCTTCAGGATATTTTTGAATTACGATAGTAATTTGTAGGTTGTTCAATCATATTTTTTAAGTAAATCGTACCAATTTCGGAAATTAAAAGTCAGTTTTAATGTTAAAACATCGATCTAACTTAAAGGATTTGATGCTCATGAAATAAGATTCTGGAAAGAAATATTGCTAATTTAAATTAATTAAAGGAATGAAAAACATCATTTTCGTTTAGTTAAAGTTGAAATGTGTGATGACATAAGAAGGTAATATGAAAAACATCTGATTGTTTATGCTACTATTGGCGGGATTGCACATTGTTGCAAGCATTGCTCTGAGCCAATGAATAAATGTAACCCGATATTCGGGAATATATATTCATTTATACACATATATGCATATGTTCATGTAATAACATATGTTATCATAATCTATTATATAATGCTTTGCAACTAACATTTATTAATATAGCAATTTATATACTGTTAAAAACTAAATTTATGTATTATGTCAGTTAATAAATTCATGTATTGTATAAGTTAATAAATTTATGTATTATATAAATATATTAAGATATATTCCCCAGGAATGAGCGATTATGTTTTTCAAAACGTAAATAATATAAAATGTTAAAGTATGGCATTTGTTATTAAAATAACCTAATTTTAATTGAACGATCGGTTCAGTGTTGAGAAAGGTGTGATTGATTACAGTAATGAACAAATTAAAGATGTAAAATTGTATTGAATACGTAAAAAACAAATTATTGCTTAAAAATATTTTGACTTTAACACAGTATGCGCTCAGAATTGTTATATTTTGAATTACTCTGTAAAAAATTTCGGATCAAATTACAATAAAAAGTAATAGCATTTATGGTGCCTTTACTTTAAACCGTAAAATCAATTTTTATCGTAAAGTTTTACGTAAAGTAGTTAGTCAAAAAAAAATCTGGCATACCGTAATTTTTACAGTAATATTTACTAAAAAATTACTGAATCACTGTTACTAAATATAAAATATATACTAAAATATAAACTAAATTGCAGTATAAAATTTTACGGTTAAAATAGATTTTACAGTAAAATGGATTTTATGGCTGCAGAGCTTTTTTTAAGTACTTTTCGCCGCTATTTGAAACGAAATTTTTTACAGTGTATGCGCAAAGACTGATTAATAAATTTTTTTAAAATGGAGCTTGAACTCGAATTTCAGCACATGTGACACCTTTAATTCTAGATACAGTAAGCCGAATATATGTTTTTAGATATAGATTTGCTAAAAATAATGTAAAAACATGCTTTTTTTTATTTTATTAAACTTTTGACGCTGTTATATTATGAAGCTAGTGCTCTAATTAAGAAAATATCAATTTTTAAATTATAAAGTATATGAAGTTATTCTTTTTACAGGTACCACGTTTAATTTCAAATATTGATCATTTCCTTCCCGAAAAGAACGAAGTAATCACGCTATTGTAAAATATACATATTGTTTACTTGTTACCGATTTAAAAAGCATTTGTTGCCCAAAAATACAAATCGATGACATAACTATTTGAATACATTTCGTTCCAATTATTTTGTAAATTTAAATAGCGCTATTTTGCTTGATTTGGTGTTTGGTAAACTAGTTAGACTTATTCTACTACTTATTTTTTTTCATAATTTGAATTTGTTTTTATGTTTCATTGTTGAAGCAAAATAATAAATTATAAAAATAAATTATTACTTAATAACCTCATATAATTGTATGCATATTTGAATATCTGAATTATTTTGTATCAAATATTTAGTGATTTTATATTTTTTAAGTATTATTTTTGATACTTTCATCATTCCATCATACCTGTAATCTTACTTTTAGTCAACTTATGAAAGTGATAAAAACAGATTTTTTAAATCGTTAACCCAATCTATTTTTCATTTATGTTGCATATAAATGTACCTACAAATAAAAAAAAATCTGCTCTAATTGGTCGAACAAACAATTTTTCCTGTTTCAAACGGGTTGTTTATTATCCAATCATGAAGAATTTTAAAATATAATTGCTCCTTTTTAGTATCATAAATCTTTGAAAAGTTATTGTTATGTAATTAAGTTCAAACAATGTGTTTTTATGATTAAAAAGAACTATGGATAATTGTTTCTGATAAAATTTCTTGATATAGCAGGAAGCACATTTTATTTTTTACTGTTATACAACAGAATATTCTTATTAAAAAGTAATCTATCGGCAAAAAGAGGATTAAATATTATCTTCAAAGTGATAACCCTGAAGCTTTTATCTAAAACACAGAATCTCAAAACGCCATTAATAAAATATTTTCTACTTTTTAAATTCTCAATAATTCCTATAAAAATACTTAAAACAATTTTCGCTTAATTTTTTTAATGCATGTACAAATACAATGAAAATTTCATTAGTTAGTACTTATTAATTAGTAGCACTAAGCGCATTTTTTAGTATAAATACTTTTAAGAAAAGTATATTTTAGTATGATGTACCATTTCGAAGTTGAAAATGCTTTAAGAAAGGCCATTAACAAAAGATTACGTACTTATAACAAAATGTATACTGATAAAAAATATATATATTGATTGTATGCTTATAGCAAAATATGTATTGATTTTATGCTTATAACAAAAAGATATTTTTTTTAAAAAATCACTAACATAAAATATAATCGCAAATAATAGCGTATTACTGGACTTACATTAAGGACATTAGTTCCTCGGGGTATCAATCTTCAATCGTTTGTTTTATTTGAAAAGGAAATCTACAAAATAAAAATCAAAAATTAGTTTTATCGTATAAAACAATAAGTAAAGCACAAATAAAAATGAATGAATTAATTGAAAAAGATTGAATTAATTGAAAAAGATGAAAGTACGATGCGCTTGTTCTATTTGCAATTATTTGACAATAAAAGATTAGATGAATTTATTTTAAAGCAATTGTGCCAACGAATTAAAATTTTTTATGAAAAAAACTCTTTTATTAGTAGTTTTTAATTATGTTTTGAAACTATATCCATCTGTATTAATATTTACAATAATTCATTTTCATACTTTTCTTATGTAAAGGATAAATATATTTATATTTATATTTAGTTTTAGTAATACACAAGAAAACAGTACAAGTATATGTGTCGTAGTCCGTTTTTTTTTCTTTAAAAATATTAATGATGTAATAAAATGTATTAACTTTCCAGCAAGTACGTCTCTCCTACAAACTAGATAACGCTAATATCAAATGTGAATTCATATTTCAAAGATTTAAATCTCATTGTTAATACCCTAATGTTATTAATTATAATTGATTCAAACATGTTTTACTTAATATAATGCAATTTGATGTCGATAAAGCCCTTGGGATTGAAAATGCATAATAAAATTCATTTCAAGTATATCTCTCACATATGAGTACCTGCTGAAAGATTACTAAAATATATCTCAATTTATATATTAATATTTATTTCCCAAATGTTGTAAGAAGTTGTAATCTGTCATTATGTTAATTAAAGCATAATTGCTTAATAAGTAATCTATATTTAAACGCAGGAAATATTTTATGAATTATCCGTATTCTATAACTCTCTTGTATTTGTCCTTGTTTTTATTTTAGTAGCTTTACAAAATGCGAAATCATTCTATGAAATAAAAGTGCTCAATGCATTTTATGCGTCTGTTTTCCTTTTCAGAATATGACATTTCAATTTATATTGTTCTTTTGTTTTATTACCCAGACATCAAATTGATTGAAGTAAAACATTTTAATATTTTTATTTCATTTTCCTGTGTGATAAAATGTTGTCCTGTATTGTTGTTTCATGCTTAAACCGCAGACAGCGTTTTTTTGTAAGAATGATTCTAATTTGATTTTATAAATGTTTTCTTACAGTGCTAAAATGGAAATGTCTGCTATTTCCATCACAATGTCTGAAAAATTCTGTGCTACGTTTTTCTAGTATTTCAAGTGCTATCTTTTTTTAAATATATATTCAATAATACTAAAGTATTTTTATGTTAATGTGCCAAAGTATAATATTGTAATGCATTTTTATATAAAATAAATATTTTTTTTACTTTTCTAGACCACGTCTATTTATTTTATACAGGTATATAAATTTAAAAAGAACAAAAACCCACCATATATATATATATATCTTCCCATTTAGGCCTCCATTCGAAACTACTCCAAAGAGTTGAAATAAGGGCAGGTTGTGACATTTCTCATCTAAAGTAGATATTAAATAATTAGTATGAGTGAAGAATTTTTCCTCATATCAAAAACGACTTTGTGAAGATAAGGCCCTGAGGTGATCTTTATTATTATTTAGACAAAAAGTCAAAACGCTAATGAAATTTGGGTTGGACCAAAAAAAAAAAAGAGAGAGAAAAAAAATAGTTCAGTTGCGAAATTCTGCAGATTGAATGAGGGCAGAGAAAAAAATATTACTAAACACAAGTAACTTTTTTTTGTCAATTTTAAAGGAAATAGCGTTTATTGCATCTTTCTGAAGAAGTGAGTTGTAACCAATGATTGTTTATGAAGAAGTGTAGGAAAAAGCGTTTATTGTATCTTTCTGAGGAAGCAAATCGTAACCAACGGTTGTTAATGATAAGTTTTCTTTCAAATCATATTTAAATGAATAAAAACACTTCTATGCAGTTAAATTCAAGAACAATTGAATTCGTAGTCATGTCACTATGAATACATAATGTACAAAATTTTAATTAAAATAGAGCAAAGTTTATAAGAGTAATCTATAATAACAGCGATTTCATTTTAGCAGCATGAGACAGTGAGGAATCATTAATGCGATCTTGGAGTTTTATTATTTTTTTATGTACTCAGTCACTTAATTGCATTATAATAGTTTTTCACGATTACAGTTACACAGTTAATTGTGAAAGTAAGAGGGCACAAGTAAACTTTGTATTAATAGAATGGAAAAATAAAACAACAGCTGATATTGCTTGATTAAAAACTTTATTCCCTTCAAAACTGTACAAATTGGAAAAAACAATCTACTATTTTTGAAGCGAAAGAAGTGTTTAATCAAGTAATATATTACAGTTTCAGTTTCTTGGAATTATTTAATTTAGTAACATTTTATAGTAAATATTAAAATCTAGATTACAAGGTTTAAATATTTAATGATGATTATCAAAAGCCTTCCAAACACACTATTTCTTCAATAATATTTCTTCTTCTATAAAACCATGTTTTTTAGTTCAATTATCGCACTTTTCAATTAGTATGGCAAAGGGATATTGAAATTGAATTACAAGCTTTATGATTCAATTTAAACAAAAATATATTTTCAACTTTATTTTCTCTTTATTCAAATTTTTCTTTGCGTATTTTACTCAATTCCACGATTGTCAAAAACTTTTATATCAAAACATACGAGAAAATACCCTGAAATGAAAGTTATTAAGACTTTTTCATTGAATTGTAGAATGAGACAGAGTAGCCCACTTTTGAGGTTCTGATTATTTTTCTTTAGAAATTTAAAAATCAATCTTCATTAAAAAATGTTCCTTTCCAAACATTTTAATCCATAATAATTATCATTTTTTTCTTAATTATAATAGACATCTCAAGGCTACTTGAACTCTCCACACTTTACCCTTCTACATGGTTCGGTAAATCATAATTTTCCATGGTCGGTAAATCATACTTTTCCATGGTTCGGTAAATCATACCTGTCCAAGGTTCGGTAAATCATACTTTTCCCCCAGGCAAGTATATACCAACTTCTCTTGAAACGTACAGCTTTGAGGAAAAAATTAGATTGGCTGAAGTCTTGGTAGTGGAATAAATAGTGGAGAAAATATGAAGACTGGAGAATTGGGTAAGTTTGAGAAGACTATTCTATTGACGTAAGTATAACAATTTCGAGTCACTATAACCCATAATGGATATCTGGAACCAATCAATTGGCTCAAATTTCCGAACATAAATTAAATTCAGTCTAATTTACTTATTTATTTGTACAATCATGTATGCTCTCTAAAGTTAAAAAAGAAAAGAAAAAAAAAGCTCTACCTTCTTTGTTCTTCAAAGAGTCCTTTTCGCTTGCGTTCTAACCTCAATTAAGAGCCATTTAATAAAGAAGTTATATATATTGGGTGTACAAATAAGTCCCCGCCACAAGATGGCGCTACCAGAAGGTTTTGTAGAAATTGACTGATGCTAAACGTCTTATTGTAAGTTTGGTTTATCTGGTAAGAATATAACCTTAAAGCATTAGTGATTCCGTATTAGCATTACGTAATTGTTTTAATGCAAAATTGTCAAGTTTTGTGCCAAATAAGCGACATTTGCGGGAACGTTTTATTTATTTCCTTAATTTGAGGAAATCTGCAGCTGAGGCTCATAGATTGCTTGGAGAAGCATGTGGTGAGGCTGCTTTAAATGAGAGAAGTTGCCGTGAGTGGTTTAAAACGGCTAGTTTGACGTAGGAGACAAAGAACGCAGTGGAAGGCCGAAATTGTAGGAAGACAAGGAATTGGAAGAATTATTGGAAGAAAATTCGTTCCAAAAGCAAAAAGGACTTGCTATTACATTACAAGTGCCTCAGCAAGTAATTTCACATCGTTGGCGATGATCCAAAAACAAGAAGACTGGGTTTCATACGAACTGAAGCCAAGAGACATTAAACGTCGATTTTTCATGATTTTTTTTTTCTATTTGAAAACACTTCAATGGGAAGTCTTCACCAAACCTTGTCCCTTCAGATTATTACCTATTCCGGTCGATGCCACATGATCTGTCTGAGCAGAAATTTACATCATTTGAAGAAACCAAGGAATGAGTCGATTCGTGGATATGCTCGAAAGAAGAAAAGTTCTTCCAACGTGATATCCGAATGCTCCCAAAAAGATGGAGGAAAGTAATGTCTAGAAAGGGAGAATACTTTGAATATAAAATAATGTACTGTTTTTTCACACTAATTTTTGATAGAAAACGGCAAAAACTTATTTGTTACTCCCAATATTTAAAATAACTTTTCTACCAAATGACTCTAGTTAAACTAAGTTTAAAAACAGACCACCATAGGTTTCGTAAGATATCATAGTAAGAATTTTGCCTACGCTAAAATTATAACATTAAAATTAATAAAAGGCACAATTCAGTCGGAAAATGAAATCAGTAACCAAATAAAAACTAGTTATATAACAAAATTAGTAACATAAGAAATAGAACAAAAGCACAATTAACATAATTCTGATATCATAGTATAAATAACTAATTAAATGATCAGACTATTTATTAAATTTCTCTCAAATATTTAAAATTTAAAAAAAAATCAATAAAATATATAATCCCTTTTTAAGTACGCATAAAATATTAATCAAGATGTATATAATTATTTGGCTATTGACTAAATTTCGATTTTAAACGTATATTTAAAAAATTCAAGGATACAGTTCTAAGATAAAATTCCTTAACCTATAACATAACAGTCTATAGAGGTATAAAGATTCTTTAAAGATAAGAAAACTGAAATAGGATTAAAAATTTAATATATAGTAATCGAAACAAACTTTAAACTTAATTGAATCAGTGGAGAAAAATAAAAATGTAGGAGTAGGACTTTGCACATTTCTAGAATATTCCAAAAAGTTTATAACAAATTCATGAATAAATCAATATGTTTCTATACCATTCCAACTTATTATTTTAATTACTGCAAAGCAACTACATTTTCTTTATTAATGAATGAATAAATATCTGTATTTATATAAAACAAAAGAAAGAAAAATAAAAACTTTACCAGTGTAAACTGGTAAAGTCCAGTTAAGTCAAACTAATTTTTGATGGAGAATGCCACTCGAAATCGTTTAAAATAACAAATTTTATTAATTGTTTGCGTACAACAACGGTGGCGATCTGATGAGTTTTGTGTAGCATAATATTTTTGACTGTATTGGTAATATGTATATTTTTTATGTGGAGATAAAAATTTTATAAATATTGTCTGCAAACGATTACTAAAAAAAAAAATAAACGGTTTTTCTTTCTTTTTTTTTTAATTATTATTATTAAGTGCATGAAAAATAAAACTCTTAGCGTAAAAAAGTTTACCTTTCGTATTTCATTTAAAATTAAATAAAAATATTACTACAAAAATTTTCTAAAATTTTTTGGAAATGCAGTTATAAGTGGCATAATAATAAAATAAATACATCAAAATTCTAAAATATACTGTTAGACGAAAATTCTATTAAATTTAATCTATAATACTTTAATCAAATTTTTTAATGGCAGATGGCGCTCAAGTGAGAACGTTGGTGTTTTTGATTTTTATAGTAGGCGTGGCTCTAGCAGCCTTTGAACTCTTCAACTCAACTAGGCAGATCTTCTGTTTGTTGTGTTTCCGTATTTTCAATTTTCAGTTTCCTTGCTGGAGTTGAACCTCATGATGAACAGTTTGCACCCTCTCTTATCCCGTGTTATAAATTTTTTTAACTATTGTCAAGATCCTTATCTCGTTTCCCGCTTTCAAAACTTTTTCGGTGTGTATCGCATCGATTCAAACACAAATGGGAATTTAAAATACAATTCAAGCAAAGACAAACAAGCAAATCAGTCACCAAAATCCAATTGTAAGATATTAACGATTAAATATGACTTCATGGACTGTGAAAATATCTTCCGCCACAGAAAAACGTTGTCCAGTGGGTCTGAAAATAGTAAAACTAGTCCAGTTACTTCCGATGGAGAAGAAATGTCCTCAGATGGTGATTCTGATTTCGAATATTCCGTGAAATGTCGAATCGAAAATAGCTTTTGGTATTTTTTCTTTAGTTTCGGAGCTGGTCTCGGATATGAAATGTTCTATGCCAGTTTTTTTCCATTCTGGATATGGAACATCGATGGTGCAGTGTGTAGAAGAGTTATCAATGTGTGGGTCTTGATTATGTATGTTGGCCAAGCAATGAAAGATATCATTTGTTGGCCAAGACCTGCAGCTCCTCCTGTTATACATTTAGAGCCTCAGTATGTTATTGAATATGGCATGCCATCCACACATGCCATGGTTGGAGCAGCTGTGCCTTTCTCAATATTATATTTTACAATGTTCCGATACGAAGTATGAACTAAGCTTCATCAAAGATTTATAATATTTATTTCTTTTTTGTACAAAATCACATTTGTAAATTTTTATCTGATAAAGCAATTATTGTTCACCAACAGTTTATAAAGCACATCAAAACTAATCATGATAATCAAAGCCACTTCTTTAATTATGTTGCTTTTTTAAATGTTCAATTATTTACATACACAAAATAAACATAAGGGTTTTCTATATGTAAAATATATTAAAATAACAAACAAGTTATTTCTGTACAACAATAATTGATCCTTGAGTATTTTGTGTTGTATTATTTTATATAAAAATTTCAAGTGTTTTTCAAAAACAGGTCATAGAGTGTTTACATTTGCTTAAATTTAATTTTCTTTTATCACCTTTAAATATATTTTCAGTTGCAATAACTTAATATTTATGTTGTTTTACTGAAACAATTTGAAAAGTACTATCTAAAATAGATTTGAAAACTAATTTACTATAAATGTGACTTGAAGATTTTTGGTTGATCAGGATTTTTTGTGCAATATTTTATATTCATTTGTTATAAAGTATGCTATTAACACTTTTTGAAATTTTGGTAACAATTTTTTTGAATGAATCTGTTCAATCATATTTATATTCTGGAGAAAAGGAGATTCTTTTAAAATACTAACTAATGACCTTTATTCTCTATTTAATATTGGCACTTTTCTTTTTTTTCTGGAAAAAAAGATTTTCTGGTTTGTTAACCATTTTAAGTTATTTTTGTTTCCATAAAATATTTTGGTCCAATTTTCATTAAATATTATTGCTTTTCTGATTTATCTCTTTTTTTCCCCTCCTTCATGAAAGCAATTTTCCATGATCCACAATGGCTCAGTGGTTTAAGGCACTTAGCTATAAATGTGAAGGACTGAGGTTTGATGCTTAGTGGCAACTTGAAACCCCAGTAACTTCAACTTAATACAATCTTGTCTGGAAAGCAAAGGCGATTCAAGCGCAGCAAAAGCAATTTGAGTGCACCTCTAATTACATTGCCACAATTGCCTGTGCTGATTATATTGCCATTGGTGAAGAAATTATGGAATTTAAACCCTTATGACCTTCCCTGGCCTGCAACATTGTCCTTTAATTATCAATAACAAAATGAATACTTTTGCCTGAAATAAGTCATTGAAAATTCGGCAATTTTGTTGCCACGTTCATGAAAGAATATAAATTTTAGATTAGAAAATAAATAATGTTAAATTATAAAAAAAAAAAGAAATGACAAGAAGTTTGTAAAATTATATAAATGCAATTATGGTTAATTATAAATTTAAAACTACTATTGATGATTGAGCACATATTTTTTGACAGTATGAAATCTTAAACTTAACAGACATGTATATTCTCAGAAATGTTTTTCTAATATCTTTATTTAATTAATTTAGTAGCAACAATTAATTAATGTCATATATATTATAAATATATGCTGGTAATATTTATAATATGTGTTTAACTAAAAATATGCATTTACTTTATTTTATGTGTTTAACTAAAAATTTGCATTTGCTTTATTTTATGAAGATGGCTTATTTTCTTTATACCTATAGAGCCATAAGTTATGAATTGATTTATTTTTCTACCACTATGTAAATAATATTTTCTCTGTATTGTATCAACCTTAATTTTCTTATTTAAACCAAATTATAATGGCATTTAACACTGAGAAATAAACTTGTTAGTCAGCAAATTAAATATGTTTGAACTGCTTATTAGTTGAAATTTAGCATTTTACTCATATATATAGTTTGTATAATGTATAACACACGTTATTTGACTGCTTGTTAAAAAACTAATTACTTCATTGAAAATCGTTATTTATCTTATTTTCTGGTATTCTCTTGATTAGCATAAAGGAATATTTGCTTTTATTGAAATATAAGAGCCTGCTTATCAGTTTAGCATAAGTTAGACCTGACTTAGCAGTTTGTTTAAGTTATTAAATAATATTACAACTGTAATTTTAAATTATAGCTGCACCATTAAGGAGGAAAAAAAAGAAAGAAATTTTAGAAACTATTGCATGTACCTTATTTAATCTTAGCTAATACTATATTTATATATGCTTTTATTTCAAGAAATGTAATGTATACTTTTTATATTTTCAGTATAGAGTAATTATTGGTATTTTATTGGCAATATTCTGGTGTGTTCTAGTGTGCTGCAGCCGTTTGTATATGGGAATGCATACAGTACTGGTACGCATATTTAATACTATCTCTTACTTATATTGTTCTGAGTTAAAATGGCTAACGTTGTTTTTTAAATCTTCTTGCCTTTTTATCTGTTATGTGCATTTTTCTCACTCAATTAAAACATACTTTTGTGTGATTTCTTTTTAGGATGAAACTATATTGTTGCTGTATGATTTATGCTTTTGTATTGTTTTATTGCATGCATTGGAGAATGTCTGAGATATTTTTAAAAAATTTACTTCGATAAAGAACTATTAGTTTCTTTTAAAATTTAAAACAAAATTGCAGTTATTATAAACCATTGGTATAGATTTAAGTTTGCATAAGGGAAGAACCTTATTATCAAATTAAGAATATGCTACAGGAAGTTTTCATGTATTAGGTTTTCTCAGCCTAACCATCTAAGTTTTTTTTTCTGGAATTTTTGATAGATTTGCTCCTTATCAAACTATTTTTTTATTTTATTAAATAAATGAAATTATTTTTTAATTCAAATTATTATGCTCAGTAAAAACAGCATTATTTTTAAGCATGGGAATAAAAAGATGTGAAAAAATTTCATAACTTCTAATAACATGCAGACATGTATTAAAAAGAATTCAAATGTTAGAAAACTTTTAACATTAAATAATTTGATTGAAAAGTGTATACTGAACTCTGGTGTGTACTTAAAAATTTAGTTTTGTCTCAAAATAAATGTTATTTTTAGCTTTAAAAAAAATTTTGCATTTAAAAGTTGTGAAATTTCAGGAATCCTCTAAAAAATAGATTAACTAGTTTATTGAGAGAAGTAGTTAGGGAATTAAACTCAAGAGACTTTTCACTGCTTCCTCTGTTGTAGCAGGGAAAAGTTTCATTAGGTAATGAATAATTAAATTTTTTCTTCTTCTTTTGGTAAAGATTTGTATTAACCCTTATTCCACTCACTCCTATATTTTTTCTTTTCTATAATTTAAAGATAACAAATCCTAAAAACTTGTATCCCTTTTCAAAATGATGTAGTGATATATTTTAAGCTCAAAAGATTTAAATTTTTTGATGAATTTTTTGATGATATGTTAATAACAGTTTAAATTAGTTTTATTCTTAATGAAGAGTGTAGTAGGGTCAAAACATGCCTGAATGACATTCTGGTACTTTTTTTAGAGGTGGAACGTGATTCCGTAACTTTAATAAACATATTACTAATTTTCACTTTATGAGCATAATTTCTTTTTGTATAATCTGCTTCTTTTACTCCCAAATTGAAGACTAATTTTGGTAAAGTGCTAAGTTTGAATAGATTAAGAGAAATGTGGTAGATTTAGACAATTAGTTGTTTGAAAAATTAATGTAACCCTAAATTTCTATTTTTGAACTATAGTTATGATATTTTATTTCCTAAAGCTGTTTCTAGTAATAGCGGTTGATTGAAAAAAAAAGTAATAATAATAGTCATATTATAAGTAATATTCATACAAATTTTTTCATACAGAAATTTTCAGTTAGCTCATTTTATGATATTCTTGAAATAGTTTCTTAATAGTTCTCTAATTCTTGTAATCATTTGTTTATTAAATCATACCATTGTAATAACACAATTTTTTTTGTCAAAAATTAATATGATTTATTCTATAATAATAGTCATATAAATTGTAGCATTAAATATATATGTGTTTTACTATTAATATGCAAACTATATAAATATTAATATGCTAACTATATTCAATTAATATAACATTGTATTGATATAGATTTTGTGATTAATATTTTTCTTCATGTTTGAAAATTTAATCAACTAGAGGGAACTTCTTTTTGGTGTTGCTTTCCTTTGAAATAAATTTCTATTTTATAAANTGAAGACTTAATTTTGTTAAAGTGCTAAGTTTAAATAGATTAAGAGAAATGTGTTAGATTTAGACAATTAATTCTTTGAAAAATTAATGTGACCCCAAATTTCTATTTTTGAACTGTAGTTATGATATTTTATTTCCTAAAGCTGTTTCTAGGAATAGCGGTTGATTGAAACAAAAATAATAATAATAGTCATATTATAAGTAATATTCATACAAATTTTTTCATACAGAAATTTTCAGTTAACTTATTTTATGATATTCTTGTAATAGTTTCTTTTTGTTCTCTAATTCTTGTAATAATTTGTTTATTAAATCATGCCATTGTAATAACAAAATTTTTTTAGAAAAATATGATTTATTCTAGGTAGATGTCATATAAATTGTAGCATTAAATATATATGTGTTTTACTATTATATTAATATGCAAAATATATTCAAGTAATATAACATTCTATTGATATAGATTTTGTGATTAATATTTTTCTTCATGTTTGAAAATTTAATCAACTAGAGGGAACTGCTTTTTGGTGTTGCTTTCCTTTGACATAAATTTCTATTTTATAAACAAAGCTCTGAAAAATAGATTAGAACAATTATACAGTTTTTTTTTATCACCATCATGGTTTTGTATTCTTGGTTTACTGTATTAAATCATTGAAAAGTACCTTTAAGCAAATCAAGCTTATTATGTTAAAGATATTTTAAATTTTAATTAAGCTTTTAATACGTCATTTTCAACATTTGAAAACGAACTGCTAGAGTACATTACATGGACATAAAAAAATTATCAATTTATCTTACTTTGAATTTCAATTCACATTAATTACCCTATTTTTAATGGGAATATTTTCAGAAAACAATTTTTTATGTTGCTCTAGCAATGTACTAAAATATTATTTTAATTTAGTGTTTCTAAATTGTATCACTTTAATGAACTTTAAATACAAAAAAAAAAATGTATTGCTATTGTTCTATTTATTGCTAGAAAAAAAACCCGAAATACGATTATTACTAATTTATATACATGTCTACAAGCTCTAACATATACATGTCTCTAATTTAACAGGTCCCATGTGTTCCAGGAAGAACAAAAAATAATAATTGGTTTATTATTTTAAAATCCATTATATAAAACATTGTGATTATTACTATAACAAGATATTTTTCTTAAACTCCTTGAAAATCCTTTTATCGAATGTATTTGACTGTTTGTTAAAATTTTATTCTTTTCAAAAATATTTTGAAACATCCATAATCAAAATTTTATCTTGTTAAACAATGAAGAAAAATAAATAATGTTAGGTTACTTATCTGCCGATCTTGCCAAGAATCACACAACTAGTTAATTAGAAATTGTGGATGGCTATTGTCCAGTATTGTTATTTCGATTTGATTTTTGAAATCTATATATTTTACAAAACTAATTTTCTATTTTTTAAATAATATTTTCCATGGTAGAGATTACATTACTATTTTTTTTAAAAAATTTCAAAATATCATTCATTGCATGTTATTGTTAGAAATAACTATACAAATTTTTTTATGGAAGAAAAAAGATACTTTTTATTAATGTACCATGTACCTATTAATAGGCTTTAAAATTTAAATACTGATTAACCAATTTTTTTTCAGTATTAAATCTTATACTACTGGATGGTAAAGTAAAGTACATATATTTTTAATTAAGGTTTCAAAAATCTTTTTCTACTTTAGCCTAAATCATTCTGATTGGTTGCGCCACTTGTTACAAGAGTAAAATTATTCTCAAGATTGATTAGCATAACTTTTAAAACTGCAAACAAATTATACGCTTTATTAATTTAAAAATTATTATTTCAAACAAATTATTTCACTTGGTTTCTAAAAATGCTTTTAGCCAATACAGTCAGATCATTAAATAATTAATATCTGCTCACCCAAGAAAATGTTTATTCGGTGTATCTTTCAGTTAATTTGTTTACTGATTATTTTTTATTATTAATATTTAGAGCTTTATTAATTAAAGCTAGCAAGAGTATTTTTTTTATCTAAGTTGGGACAGTTCGAATGAAACTGCTCATTCTTTTTTTCTTCTGATTTTTTTTATTTTTTCTGGGTTTTTTTTTCTTTATATTTCTTTATCACTACGCTTGGCAGTTTTTCAAATCATTAATAAACATGAATTATATGCTTTTGATTTTCAAATACTTTACTTTTATATATATATATATATATATATATATAGAATAATTAAATATAAAAGAATTAATTGTAAATAAATTTACTTAGAAAAATATTTCTTTGTTAATTTATATAATTTTTACCATGTGCAAATCCATTTCTGGAAAATCCGTGGCTGAAACTATGTGCAAAGCAGACAAATCATGTTTCTTTCTCTTTTTCTCTTTTATTTCTTTCTTAAATAAATGCTAATTTTCTAAAATCATTAATTGTCAACCTCTTTAAATTATCCAATATAGTATTACCTTGNGGATTTTTATCTTAATAATTTTAATTTCTTTTTCAGGATATAATTGGTGGTCTCTGTTTAGTTGCTGTACTTATGGTTATAATCTTGCCATTCTCAGATTATATTGACCATTTCCAGTTAACAAATAAATTCTCACCTCTCATCACTATAGCCTTTATGCTTTTCTTGCAAGTCACATATCCGAAAACAACTCGTTGGACACCAGCACGAGGTGACACCGCTGTAATCATGGGCACTGGTACTGGATTTGCTCTAGGATCCTGGCTTAATTACAGTCTGGGAGTTATTCGCGGACCTCCTATACCTCCTCCTTACAGTATATTGTGGCCTGGCTATAAAGTTTTTGGATTGGCTCTTTTGAGAGCCATGATTGGTATTTCATGTATCATTGCAACTCGTGCATTTTTTAACAGCATAACTTATGGTCTCTTGTGTTACGTTATGAGAGTGGATCCCAGAGATCTCAAGTCAAGACAAAAATTGCTTGTGGAGATTCCATCCAAATTTTTAACGTACACAGCTATAGGTTTTGTTATTACTTATGTCTCACCCTTTGTGTTTAGACTTCTAAATATCGAACGGCTAACTATGTTTACTGAAGTGTGACCAGAATCAAAATATTAAGCTTTTAATTTATTATAGACATTTTGATCACAGTAGGCGTGATAGTCTGTAACACGTAAATAATGCTTTACATTTTTAGTCTTGTCATGTTTGTTGAAAGAACAAAATATAAAGCTTTAATTTATCACTTACCTTTTAATGACAGTTGATGTGATAGCCTATAACATTATATTTTAAAGCATTATATTTTTAGTTTTATCACATTTCTACATTTATTGAAATTTGACTAGAATTAAAATATAAAGCATTAATTTATGATATTTTTGAAGATGTTAAATTTATTGTTAAATTTAACTTACCCAAAATGTTATCTTTGTTGAGCTATCTAAATATACTTAAAGTTTTCTATGATTAATATTGAATATTACTCTTTGATAAAACAAATTTCAGCTACAGGCTGTAAGAAAGTAATGACTTCTAAATACATTTATATATTTTATTTATTGACTTTTAAATGCTTTTGTATGTTTAGAAACATTCGTCAATATTTACCAATTTTTATCTAATTTATTTGAATTTAAGAACTAAATTTTATTCTACATTGATAATCAAAATATTAATTTATATTACAAAAAAAAGCTTTTGGAATTTTATTTGTAAATTTCTTATTTGAATTTAAAAACTTAATTTTATTCTACTTTTATTTTTATGTAAATTTTCTCTTTAATTTATAATCTTTTTAGTGAATAACGGTATAGATACTTGTTTGTTTTACCACATTAAAGAACATTACATCTTTGTAATTAATGCTTGGAATTTTTTATTCCTAGAAACTGTCAAAAGTTGAATCCTTCTTTATTTTAAGTGGAATCCTTTTAAATTTTTACCGAGAATAATTTTATTTAGATGAAGATAGTTAGTGTATTTGAAATTAAAATTTTTGAGATTTACATTTTGCGTATTGTGAACAAATATATTGAAAATCGTCCAATATTTGCCTTTTTTTTAAATGTATTTGAATTCTAAAATTTTTATGCAGGGAATATTTGCCAATTGCATGATGCATCAAAAATTTACATACTTTTTGCATCAAATTTATCTTTTAAATTTTGTAAAATAATATATTCATTCGAAAATTACTTTTTTCACTATATTTACTATTCATAATAAAGTAACAAGCAAAAAATTTAATTTTATGCAGAAACTTTTAGAGTTATTATAATACTTTATGCTAGCAGAACTTCTCATTTAGTGTGATTAGTACAAATGGATATCGCTGGCGAAATCTTTTGTTTTTGTTGTAAAATTATATCTTTTATTTTTTAGCTAACTATGTGTCTAGCTAATACTGCATTATGTGATAAATATGTGTTAAAATTTCAGTTTTTGTTATTGCATACATGTGGAACATTATTTGATCTCTGTGCCTTAAAAATATACATCTGTTCACAGAATGTGGTTTTAACATAACTACAAATTATATAATATTTTGATACTATATGTTTAAATGCAACACTTCATTTTGTTGGCAAATATTTGTCTCAACTTTTATCATGTACTTTTTGCCATTAACAATTAAAAATGTATTGTAATTAAAAGTTGCCAGAGCTGTAGTGATAAATTTTGCTTTGCAAACACTATTTTCAATTTTCAAAGTGGAAATGAAAATTCACATTTTCTTATTTCGTAATGGATCATTTATTTATGTTTCTTTTAAAGATCTTAGTTTCCTATAGATGGTTTATTAAATTATTAAATTGTTTAAAATCCTTTTTCTAGTCTTTTAAGCTTATCAAAAAGTGTAACAAAAATTAGACAAATGAAATTCATTTGCAAATGTATAATCTTATAGTTTTTGAAAATTTAATGGATTAAATGTTTTTTAACAGCTAAATTAAATTGTTTTAGCATTAAAACTATTTTATGGAAATAAAATTTTAACCACTAGTTTGTTGTTAATATTTAAAAGTCAAACTAGGTATTAGGGTGGAAAATTTTAGAGCCTATAGTATATAGTTGGTTAGATAACTTATGAAATGATTTATGTCTGTTTTCCGTATGTTTTTATGCAATGAAACTTTTAAGCGGGACAATCTTTCTAGAATGATTCCTTTCTTTAATGACTAGTTTTAACTACATCTTTTACTATATCAACTTAATGTCCTTAAGAAGAGAACAGACAGCTGTCTATGAATGACCAACAAATAGCCTTCCATTCAAAACTTTCTTGCGTTTTTACTGGCATTAAATACACTTGCAAAAAGTGCAAATACAACAAACTAAGATAATATTAATGAGGCAAACATAAGAATACTAATATACAAATAAATACAGTTCATCTTGCAACTATGTAAATAAATTTACAACAATTGCAAGAAAAGAATAAACAAAATGAAAAGTAATATTTTTTTAGTGATATAACTTTTTTTTATTTCAGAAATTAATAGTAGTTCAAAATTTGTTCTTTTACTCTACTAAAACCCCTGATCACTACAGTTTTGATTTAAATATATATGTAACATAAACAGCTTCTATTAATCTTTTTATGTTAGTTTCTTTGTTATGAAACTTCATCCTAATTAATCCTATATATTTAAAAAAAAAATTCCGTTAATTTTAAAAACATTTTGTTTCTGTTGTAGAAATGTGAAATTAAATACTATTACTATTATTTTTCTGCACATATTGAATTTGTATATTTTGCTATTATTACCATTACCATTATATAATATTATTACCATTATATTTATTTTTCTTTGCTTACATTCCAGCTGGATCTGGAAGAGAAAATATTTTTGAGATTTAGGAAATTTATATTAAATCATTAGGTTACTTTCTCATTGTTAGTGGTATGCTAACTGCTCAACTTTCAACATATCTTGTTTACCTATGCCATTTTGTATTTAATTAATATTTACTACTGAATTTTTGTTATGCTTATTTGTATAAATTCTATTAAACGTATAATTTATGATGATATTTTTTACTCTGAAATGATATTAAAAAATATTTTTTTGTATTTATTTTCATTTTTTTTAAAAAGAAAAAGATCTGAAAAGTTATATTTCTTTTTCTCTGAGATGTTTATTTTGAACTATTATTTTATAAATTCCAATTGTGCCTAACTAATATCATCAAATATTGTGTATTTAAAATATAAACTTAAATGGAATGAAATATAATGCACTAGTTTTGACTGCTTTAAAAAAATCTTTATTCTACTTATTAATTTACTCATGTACATTAATCAGATGTTTATAGTATCCTAAAGCATATTTTCTAATAGCTTATAGTATCATAGAACATATTTCCCACTAGTTTATAGTGTCATAAAACATATTTTCTAATAGTTTTCTCCCTTTTGATTTGCGGATTTTTTTTTCCGACTGCTTAATTTTTATGTAATCTGTATACTTTTATTTTGCATTATTTAAAAATGCTATGAATTTGCTTATGCATTGTTTTTTTGTGAATAAAAAGCTGAACACAATTGGTTTTTGTTCTGTGATTGCTTTTCTTAAAGCTTAAAATATTAAATACATGAATCTAACATTTTCAAATTGTGAAAATTTTATATGAAAAAATAAATTCTTTTAAAACTCTTAATTTAAACTTTTCTTAGGCAAGTTATAGAATTTGAAAAAATTTACTTAACTGAATTTCTCTTTTAATAGCTTGAAAGTGGTATATATAAGTACATATAAATTGTATTCTCATTTATTTTATTTGTTCTTAAAAAAATTTTTCCTTATAATATTTTATTGTAGAAAATTGAAATAGATTCTTATAGTATTAAAAGCNAGCCTGTTTTTTTTTTTTTTTTGTTGCTATAAGTCATTGTATTTTTTAGCAATTAGTCACCATTTCCAAACACTGGGTGATCTAAATACATGAATCTAATATTCATATTGTAAAAATTTTTATGAAAAAATATCCTTTTAAAATTCTAATGTAAACTTTTCTTAGCCATGTAGTTTAAAATAATTTCACTGAATTTCTCTTATAAAAATCTGAAAGTGGCATAGCATATAAGTATGTAAAAACTGTTTTCTCTTTTATTTAATTTGTTCATTAGCGATGTTTCCTTGTAATATTTTATTGTGGAAAGTTAAAGTAAAAAGTTTTTTTTTTTAATCGGAGATAATTTTTTTTTTTTTGCAATAAGTTATTATATTTTTCATAATTAGTTATCCTTTTCTAGCACTGGTGACAGCAACTTTAAGTACTCAACTCAAAAGACAAAGTGTGCTGCCACATTTAATTTTACGAATAATGATTTAGGCCGAACTGTGGTGATTATAATCAGTTTTAGACAGGGTATTCTATTCAAAACAAATATGTATTTTAAAAAATAGAATTTAGAGTACAGTGAAACCTGCCAAGTTGACCACCCTTGTAAGTTTGGCACTTACATAAGTTGACCTCAATTATCAAGAACGGAATTTTTCCTATATAATATAAAGAAGCAAAACCTTTGTAACTTGACCACCTGTCTATCTTGTATGTTGACCACTGAAATAAGTCAATTTTGTCTAGGAGTATTATGAAATTCTATTCTAAAACCCTCATAAGTTGACCAGAAAAAAAAATTCAGAAAATTTTCTGTAATTTTGGCAATGTATGTTAAAATTTCACTTGTTTGGTGAAATAGTGTAAAAAGCTAATCTAAACCCTTTTGTGAGTTTACCATCAGGGGAAACTGTAAGTGGTCAGCTTTTGACCATTTCTTTCATCCGCTCATTGAAAACAGGTATGTTAGTTGAAAAGTTGCTCTTCCAGTTGCAATAGTGAGCATTTGAATAAATGAATGCTCTGAAATATACTTTGATCCTTTATTTATGGTCTTTGATCTTTAAGTGTAGTAAAGAAATTTTAAAGTGTTCAAATAATTTTATTTTGTTAAAGTTTTCAAATTACATGTTTTCGTGTTCTGATATTTTGAGAAATTATATTTATTAAACACTTCACATGCATAACTAACAAAATAATTTTTAAAACAAAAATTAGTTAAATATTAGAATTATATGTATCAAATTGAAGTTCATTCAGGTTTAAACACATTTCTTAAGATATTCATTTACATATTTTCTGAATAAAATTTTTAAGTCAAGTAAAAAAAAAATTAAATGTATAGCAACATGATATAGGAAACGAAAAAGTGAACAATGACCCACCCCCTCTATAAGTTGACCACTTGTCTAAGTTGACCACTAAAACAATGCACCACAAGCGGTCAACTTACACACACAAGTTTTACTGTACTATACTTTTGTTTACATTATAAAAAGTATTGGTGGTAAAAAAGATAGAGAATAAATCAGATAATGTATTTAATTTATAAAATAATATCTATAATAAAGATATCGAGAATACATATAATAAAATAGAGAATCTGTAAATATATTCCAATTCAAAATGTCATCCTTGTACATATTTTGTGTATGAGTTAGTTGAACCATAACCGTATAAAAAGCTTCATACGTTCTATAAAAAGCATATAGATTAACATTTCTCTGTTTTACTGTGTATCAACTACTAGTAATCAATACACCCAGCTCTATATTTTGGCTAATCATATTTTGTGTATCATTAGAACCTCAAAAGCTTCATTAACATGCTATAAAATTCGAGGAGTTTGACCAGCTTATCATGAATCAATACCACCCATATATCAGAAACTGATACTAACTTCTTACTTTCCCTTATCTTATTCATATGATTTATCAGATTTTTGAGACACCAAAGCAACCATGCCAAATAGTTTGCCTTTTTTTAGAACATGTTTCAAGTTTTAATTGTTTAAGTACAATATTTAAAAATTGAAGATCGCGTTTTTGTAAATGGGCATAGCCATGTGCATCAGATTTTGCACTTGAGGATTACTTTGTTTTGGCAAATCAATAAAAATTAGTTTTCCCCTAGAGTTATTACTCACTGAGGGTGTGCCGTGCTGAGGAGAAATAGATGTCCACGCGAAATCAAGTAAATTATAGTGAAGTATTGATTGGGGATGAATTTTGAGGAAAAAAACAGTTCTTGTCCAACTCTATTTTCAATTTTTTTTCACATCAAAAATTTTAAATTTTATTATTTTGAAATTTTTTAGGTGATTTAAATAAATATTACTGACATTCATGTGTATTTTTAGTTTTATAATTTCAATCTAATGCCTACTTCAGAAAATTATCAAACCATTAAATTCATTTTTTACAGAATCAACTTTCATGGACATAAACCTTGTTCTTCAATTGTATTTTAAAAAACAACTATTAATATTTTAAAAAAAATTTTCTTATGTCTAATTTTGATATGAAAAAAAAACTTGATCGAACGATACAAATATAAAAGATTTCAGTGTGATTGTTTTATTGGTGTGAAAATTGACATTAATTCTACAAACTCTGTAAGTAAAGCAAATTACAATGTGTTGAAAAGTATTTAGTAAACAGCTTTTCTGGTATTTTTTTGCATTCCAAAGCTGATGTTCTCTTAGAAAAAAAAGCATTATTCATTGGAAAAGATATCTTTTTTTATGAATCTCATCAAGTTATTATGCAAAAACAATTTATTATATAAAATTGTTATCGAGTTATTATATAAAATTATCATTTAAAAACAAATTTCCACTCGTAAATTGTGTATTGAATGAAATATTACTTGTGAATTTTTTCAAACTTTTTCAGCAATTTGTTCACTTTTTGCAACAGCTGTAAATTTTTTTTAAAAAAAATTACTGAATTTTTTAAAAATTATCAGATGAAAATAAAAGATCTTTCAAACGTTGCGTATTTACTAATATATATCTCCTAAATTGTTCAGATATTTTTCTAGTCCATTTTCCTCCTTACCCAGTAACGAATACAGGAGTTTTTTTTTTTAAAAGCTTTTTTCATAATAATATTGTGAGGCTTATAAAAGTACAACCAAAAGTAAACAAGAGAGTGAAAACTAAGGAGTACACCATAGCTTCATGAAAGTAGCAATGATCGCTGATTTGCAATTGATATAAAATCACAGGAAAGTTTATCTAAAGAGCGAAGTTTTTTCATGAATAGCAAACTGTAATATAAATGCGTATACGTTCCATTAATCTGCAAGGCTGTGAACAATTAATTAAAAAGATGGATAGATAAAAATCGAATCTAGCTTTAGACGAAGCAAAAGTTTTGCCAAATTTCAAGAAATCTAGCTAAATCAAAAAATTTTAGATACAGAAGAAGACAAAGAGCGTTTTAAAATCTTCGAATAGTATGTCAAAGAAGTACCAGAAGTCTCAGACTTTCCGCCACCTTCAACCTCAGTCTCATCCCAAACCAGAATTATTAAATTTGAAACTTTTGCTAGAACATGTGCCAGATATAGAATTCCGGATAGACTTGGTGCTGCTTTCACACCATTTGATTTACAGTAAGTAAAATCGAAAGAGAAAGTAAAAAATAAAAGATAACGAAATGCAAAGGTTCTTTGATCATCATTGACAGATGTAAAGTACACAAAGGAAGCAACAAAAACTGAAATAAGCAGCAAAATAGGAAATCAAAGTAAAAGATATTTACTTTGATGGAAGAAAAAAAAAATTGCTAGTTATGGAGGAGGCAAAAGATGGGTCTTTCCAATTACATATCTAATATAAAACAATATATATATCGATTGTTCCTAAACTATTTAATTCCGACACAGCTGTCCATAAACTCTATCAGTGTCAGATATAAAGGAATTTATTTTGAATTGGCAAAACAAATTATGCTTCTCAACTTATTGTAGTTGGTTGCGACGGAACTATGATAAATGTATGGAACTGAGACGAGTTTCATTCGAATGTGTTATTAATAAGGCATATTATAAATTATCGGATCGAAGAATGCGCAAGAGTTTGTTCAATTGCAAACATCTTTCACTGATAAGACGAATTTTCGTTTCAATTGAAAAAGATTCCTCAGAAATGAGAGAAAATAACATTTCAAGAATGCAAGAACAGATCAAAAATGTTTAATGAATGTAAGCAAAGCAGTTTCTTCTGGCAAATATCCACCAAATTTGGCATAATTAAGCCCTGGTAAACATTCGAATGCAAGATAGCTCACTAAGCTAAAAAAAAAGGTATTTGAGCTTGCATAAGAAACTTGGATCCATCGACCTATTTAATGGAATTATGCTTCCTTTTATGCTGTGATGTGATTTTATACAAAACTTTTGTGAAGCTATGGTGTACTCTTTAGCTTTCTCTCTCTTGTTTACTTTGGGTTGTAATTTTATAAGCCTCAAGTTAGTATTATTAATATGAAGTCCCGCAGTGGACTGATCGTAAAGACACGGTTCAAAGTAGAACAACGAAATAAAGCATCACTGGCTGCTGTCAGTGAGCCGGTGGGTGACCACTTTGATCATCCTGCGTAGGGACCGAGGGTGCGCTGTATCTGCCCTAGTTAAGCTGTTCCACCGTGAAGTGCTCGACTTCGCGCAGGTCGTCGGACTTCCCAAGCAGGGGAG